GGTCTCACCTTCGATTTCTTCGCGTGTGGGCTTATGCTAGCGGATGTCTCAGGGAGACGGGCGGTCAATGGCTGATAGAGAAGTTGGTAACTCCGGCGGATGTAGGATGTTCACATATTTCGTGGGAACACCTTGCCGCGCAAGTCGTTTGAACAGAATGCATCGATCGACTGAATGGAAGGCACTCTTGAAATCAAGGAACACAGTTGTTGTCGGTCTGCGATATGCGTGCCGTTGCTATACCATCTGCCGCAGAGTGAATATATGATTTATGCAGCCCCGTCCTGGGCAAGAGCCTGCCTGCTCTTCCCTAATCCGAGATTCTCGTTCCACAGTGAGGGGACGAACGAGAATCGAAGCCAGTAATTTTATCACAACTGGCCTGTGGTTAGGACAGTCTGTGCAACTGCCCTACTTGTATATTGTCACTATAATCGATTCACTCCAGTTAGCCGGGACACCTTCCAGATACATCCGCGAATAGGGAGGAGAGTGATTTGTAGAGGACCTCACTTACACCCTTATTAATGCATACAGAAGGGAATCCGGGCCAGCGGCACGAAAACGATTGAGAGCTGTGATCCCGTTTCGAACCTCGGCCTCTGACGGGGGCTCTAAACTAACCGTCCAGAGCTCGTCCTCCATCACCAGAATAGGAAGAGATCCGGGAACAGTAGGCCAGCTGAAGTGATGTTGAAAATGTTCTGCCCAACGCGCTCCTGATTGTGTATCAGTGCACTCGCGCCGTCTCTAATTGTTTCACTGACGTATGTTTTCCTGCGACCGTTGGTGCGGATCAGCTAGAAGAGCTTTCGGTAATTGCCTACTGTTTCTGCTCCTCCAATTCTTGTGCCTTACTGGTCCAGCAGGCTTTCTTATAAGCACGCAGACTCTGCTTTAGTTCGCGCCTAATATTCCGTCTGCTCACATTGTGCTCAGAGCCAGCCGGGAGGTTTCTCAGCGATTCCAACAGGTTCAACGACCTTTCGGATATCCAGGGACGTGCGATGATGATTGATAGGGCCACAAGCAGATTCTTCTGCGCCGTGCATTGCGGTCGAGATCCTATTCCATTGAACTATAGTCATTAGGGCAAGAAATCGAAAGTTCAGAATGCAGTGCGTCTTGGTAGGCTTGCCTGAGCAAGGGATGAGACTATTTCTCGGTGGCCAATCGGGGCAGACGCTTGGTGCGCCTCCCGGTAAAGTTCATGGAGAAACGACAGCGTACCAAGGCATGACCAGAGTCAATGCAGGTATTCCAGTCCGAGCGGCAATGCATGATGGAACCACGCCATCTGTAACTTGTGGCAATGTGGTCAATTTGGGTCCATCGCTGGCCAGCTACAGCATCGGGCATTGTAGTAATGAACAGGCTTGACTACATTTCGAAGATGGAATCCATTCTGGGAGACACGCGAAACTTCCAGCTAGATAATAAACAGGAAAACAACATCCTGGTGGAGAAGCATGTGGCAAGGAAGCTCCAGATCCTCCTGCTACATGGTTACATCAGCAAGTTGCAGTACAGGCACTTAAAACCGACTGGGACACAGACACCTGGAATGAGAGGCGCTCCCAAGTTACACAAATCAGGATTTCTGCTACGTCCGATTATGTGCATGAACTATTCACCTTATCACAATGTCGCGCGGTGGCTGGCTAAACTATTAGATCCGGTGCGTAAATTCCTCCCTACTTATTGCCTGAACTACTTCTTTGAACTTGCTGAGACACTGGAACACTTGTCACTGAGTACAGAGCTTATACACTCACTAGTTGTGGACTCCTTATTCACAAACGTGCCTTTACTTGGGATGGTCGATCATTTATGTGATTTTATCCTGAACCAAAATATATCTGTGTGCCTACCAGTGGAGTATTTGTAGGATATGATTCTATTGTGCACCGAGAACATACGGTTTGAGTTTGAGGGGACCGCATACAAACAAGTCGACGGGGTCCCTATGGGCAGCCCTCTGGGATCCGTTTTAGCCGACATCTTTCTCGGCCTGATGGAAAGGCAAATTGATGCCAGTATTGGTGAAGCGAAATTGTACAGACGATATGTGGACGACATTTACCCGCTTGCTGATCATCCTGAATTCGATTAACCCTAATCTGTCGGTATCCCATGAAATGGAACAACACAGTTGCCCTGTGTTTTTGGTTATACTCATTAAGAGACGGGCTGAAGGTACGTTGCGGCGCACTGTTCACCGCAAATCGATTTGGAGTGGGCAGTATCTACCTTTTTCAAGCTTCGCCCCGATCACATACAAACGCGGCTTAGTGAAAACTCTCTACTACCGGGCTAGACGTATTTTCAGCCCCGAAACGTTAAAAGCCGAAGAAGAAATTCTACGCAAGACTTTAATTTCTAATGGATATCCTGAAAAGTTTATTCAAGTACACAGCTGACTTTCAAGCGTAAAGACACCGTTGCTGACGGCTGAGAAAAAGGAATGTTTATTTGTTCGTGCCGTTCAAGGCGGATCATATGGCAAATGATATCGGACGCAAGCTCCCGTTCGCCCTAACGCGCACCTACATGACAGTCCAGTTGCGACTCAAGTATACCACGCGAGGACTTGTTCTTCATAACCGTCAGAGCATCTCGTCGGGTAGTTCGGCGTCTCACGTTGTTTATAAGTTCACCTGTGGTTGCGGTGACATTTTGATAGACAAAACAAACCGTCAGTTAGCTCAGAGGGTAGCTGAGTATTTGCCAAAGTGGTTAGGACAAGTGATTACCCAACAAAATGGGACGGATCTGAGAACTAATCGGAGCCTGGCATCGTCTGTCACCAAGCACTTCATGGCAACCGGTTATCACGTGAACTCTGAGACAGCGTCCAACGTGTTCTTACGTGACAAAACCCCGATAATTCTGGCAATTAGTGAGGTCTTGTTAATTAAGGCCTATCAACCTGTGCTATATGCACAGAAACTCTTGTAATCAATTCGGTTACCATGGTCTTGACTGTGACATTTTGATTGGTGTTGCCTACTTTTTCCATGTATATAATTCTTTGTGTGTTTCTGCTCGTATTGTATTTGCGACTAAAGAGCACAATTGAAATGTTGACATATCACAACATCTGTCTTCTCTTTGCCTTGATCAAATGATCAGGTATGTTCATACGTTATAGAATGTTGATCACATGTGAATTAGGAAAATCCTATATCAAATCAAATAAGGACCATTGGGATGATAAGGAATAGATAACATACACTTTACTGAGTTGAAATTATGTTGGCTGGCTGTTACTATTCTCTCACATATAAGGCAGTTGAACCACGAGAGACAGTATGCTGGTGAAACATGCACCAGATCATATACAACCTAAACCCTGCTCGTACGCTTGGCTTGTTGTTATGGGACAATCAAACAGTTTGATCACGTTTTGTGGTGAAAAGAACTTACTGATGCTTTTTCGAAATTCATGTTCAAGAGTGCAAGCACGTATTCCGGGTGGTAGCTTGATCCCGACCCTGGCATATCTGTTGAGGAAAATATTCGCAAACCTGCTGGTTCTGTACTTGAGTTCCGCCACTGAGTTCTGTTTGTTTCGTGTGTTATAGACTGCTGATTGCATTAATGTTATATTGAAGTTGGAAACATGAATTTATGTGCAAAATGTTAAAGAATATGACTAGGTTGTGCTTCATGCGCCGTAGCCAGAGCGGGTCAAACTTGAGCTTATCACATCGTGCAGATTATTCCAGTTTTGGGGAAATACCAAGCACGCGCTTTGTGCATGCCCTCTGCACTTGTTCTAGTGTAACGCGATCGCGCCATTTTGTGCTGCCATGCAGCATTCAACAATCTTCGAACGTGGGTCGAACAACTGATTTGTATGACTGAAGTATTTATTCATGTAGGGAAAAAGTCCTGAATACCATGCCAATTCTTTGTATTGCTGTCGCGGTGGCATATCCGACATGCTCTTGAAAGTTAAGTGAGCATGAAATCTCAATCCCAACTCTCTAATTGTAGGGCACAGCTTAAGTGGTTTTCCATCAGGAGTTAGGCCACTATGAGTGAAATCGCATTTGTCGGACATTGCACAACGTTTGTTACCAGAGAAAGACATTTTCCACTTTCAGCACCAAGTTTCAAGTGCATGGACGTCGCGTTAGATCAGGTTGACAGCATCATTGGAAGCTTCCGTACTGAAAGTGTATACGATTTTAATGTCATCGGCAAACAGTTATGGTATACCGAATTTTACCACGTGGAAACTGTCGTGGACAGAAATTAGGAATGGTAGCGACCCACTTACACCTCTACTAGTGACAGATTTCTTTAATTAGCATGTTAGACTGATCGTGTTGCGTTGTTTAGATACTTTGGTTGCTTCCCGGTCACCGGAACATGTTTCGTTCTGTTTAGGTGGCACTGGATTCTAAAAGGCAATAGTTTGGCTGATAGTGAATGTTAAGCCACCGACCAATAGATTTGATCCGTCTCATTTTTCTGACCAATGTCCATGCGGCTCACTTCAGCTTAACATTGGATACTTCAGAACATTGTTTGCCACCGTCATTAGTAGCACGTTTATCGTGTTCCCTTAGTTAAAATGCACGTTCACTGTCCGTGGCAGCGAAAAACCTTAAGGAAATCGTCTCACCTGTACCCTCGCATCTTGTGACACCTGGCTGTTTGTGATCGTGCGTTGTTGGCGTTTTGGCCCCGAAAGGTTACTTTTGGTTTTGTAGGTTATTCCTTCGTTCCTCCCTGTTCGTTTTCCCTATTGACAGTCTCCGCGTAGATGCAGGCGATCTCACTGTCTTCTCAGCTTGTGCGCTCCTGTTGGTGGTCGCGTGACAACGAAACCTCTGCACAGTATACCACCAAACTGATGATAGCTTCTTTATTATTCGTATTAGCTGCGTTGCTGTGTGCCGAAGCCGCGATACTATCGTAAATCTGTCTACCCATCACTGAACCATCAGAATCTCATCCTTGTGATCTACCGCATCTCCGTTTTTTTACAGCTGTTCGCTCCCCCGCCTGTCCCTGACGTCACGTCGCTTTCGCAGGATCTTTGGAGCTCTTCGTCTCTCCATCCGCCCAGCAATAAGCCTGAACTGCTATCTCACCCACCGGATCCATTTCAAATATCTTGCTCTATACAACTTCCCCCTCCCCCTCCTCCTCCCCCGCCCCCACCCCCTTCTCCTATTACTCCATTTTCCTCAGTGATAAGCTCCTGTCCCACATGTACTTCCAGCGTTTTGGACTCCTGCCCACCTCCACCTCCACCCCCTCTACCACCGCTGTCTTCAGGGCCGAATTTCACGATCCCGTTCAGTTTTCGACTTCCGGGTGGTGGAATACCTTCGTTCCCCACACCACCCGTTGATCTTTGTCTTCAGTTTCCACGTCCGCCCACCAGTCAAACGGAATCCGTAATCATGCCCTCGAGTAGTTCGCGCTTTCCAGAGCCGCTGCAGTTACAACCGTCTTTAACGTCCGCAGTATCGGTTGCTTCACCGGAGCAGAAAGCTGCAAACCAAACGGCACAACCCATTGTTCCGAACTCTCTACTAGTTCGTCTGCTCAACACAGTTGGGGAAAATAAAAGGCCTGAGACGAGTGAGTGGTCTCTGGTAGACCCCCTCTGTCAGCCATCAGAAAACAACACGAAACTCACTGAAGACCCATTTTCAGTTATATCCAGGTTGACGGGTCTGTCGAATCTGATCAAGAAGTATGTTGTCTACTTACATGACTTAGTAGCGCCTCTATCTCATTCCTGTTTCACCTCATTGTCTCACATATGGATTTGTGGTTTGCGTGTTTGCGGAATCCATAGAGTTACACTTGATGGCGCTTCCACCCACCCATATTTTAAATTCATACTCCCATAATACTATCACGCTGCGTTGGAACATTCGATGTGAATAAGCCATGAGGAGGGCATTTACAGTCTCTTATCCATCTGGCGAATTAATTTCTTGGCTTTGAGTAGAACCCCAGATGAAAGCACAGAAGATGATTCTGTTGGGTAATCAGTTCCAAAGTGTGCTTCACACCGAATCGATATCCAACAAGAATGTTCAGATCAAGTCAAGTCAGTATAAGCTTTATGTACCCAAATGGATGCATTTTCAGCATTTTACATTATTAACAGTAAATATATCAGAGGGTTACCAACAAAAATGTGAAGTTTTTAAATGAGTAGAAAAATGAGAGGAGTGTATTGTCATAACTCGAGTTGTGATCGATCGATCAAGCAACGATTCCATAGTGCTGCACTAAATCTTCGGAATTTGCATCCAATCAAAATCGGACAAGCTTTCTTTGAAATCTTTCTTCATACTTCGTTTCAGTTGAAGTGAAATTTTGTATCCAAAGACGGTAGATCTGGGATCGTGCGCGATCCCTGGGCGTTTATATTCAAAAGATGGATAGAGTAGGTTGATTGCAGTGACCTTGGAAGTTGATTGAACAAAATATCCGTCAGCTTATTCTTGCAAAACTGATATATCTACAGTAGATAGTGTAAAATATGGTGTTCGAGGAAAAAGGCAACAGCCGATTTAAAGGCCCCGTCAGTGGGTGATCAATCATTGCCCACACCATGAATAAAGCCGATTTTCTCTAGATTGTCTCAATTGTGTTCCATTTCATTCGGATCACATGTCTGAAAACGATCTCTATGAATGAATCAGTTATTGAGAAAAATGGGCATTCGACATGCTTTCGGACTTGCAAGCTTTAACAGTGGAACATTTTAAAATTATTCCCAGCAAACCCACTGTACTGCCATCTACTCTTGAACCGGCTGAATCCCCTTGCGATCTCAATGTATCATACCTTCGATGAAATCAAACACGACCTGGCAGGGTTGAAACCTAACAACATACCATGACCCGATGATCCTCTCATGATCATGATCATGATCATCATCGTCATCTCTGAACAACAGTGACTACTCATTAGTTAGCGATCTAGGCGTTGTACGAGCACGATGTGGTTTTCCATATGGTATCGATCAACTGTCGTCTCATCTTTAGACTAGTCATGTTTATTTCTCATCGTGTAAGTAGGTGCGTTCACCATTGACAGGTATCATATTTGTGCGGTTAATGTTCTGTTTTTGCATGGATAACGTATGATTATCCGATTGTGCGTGTTCATGATACTGTATACTCTTACAAGATTTTGTCAAGTTGGGGCACTGTTTGGATTTGAAGACATCACAACCACTCAAGGTTGCCTAATTTCTGTTAAATCTTTCTACTTACACTTGTTTAATATCATCGTCTATCAGAGGGCTTCCCCCTGAGAACTAGGCCATATCCACTTTCAAGTCAACGTAACTTATGAGCTTATTGCTGAATGTTATTGTGCTCTAACGCGACCTATTTGTGATTGGTAGACCATTCCACAGGACGGCATATCTGAGTAGGAAGAAATTAGGTCGTAAACTTGTCCTAAACTTTTGTGTATTCTTTGTTATGAAGTTTCCGGTCCAAACAATGCTACGCGTCTATCGTAGGTACGTTGGAGTAGGCTTTCTGGTGAATCAGATGGTGCAGCAGTACGAATTTATTATACTTCACGTAGGCAAAGCTGATGGCGCTGAAGTTGTTGACCCTCATCCCGATATTTCTCGCAAAATGGGCCATTCTATTAGTTTCCCTTATGCTGCCGCAAATTGTGCTGCGATACTCAAGAATGGATCGGATACAGATTTTAGAATGTCTTTGACTAGGATATTTTGGATATATTGTCCACAGATTATCCGGTACTCGGTCTACTCATAAAAGCTGAACGTACAGATATTCTCAATTCCGAGATCGCAAGTAGATAGCTTTACACAAATAAGCTCGTCGTTGAACATAATAAATCTTTTAGGCATCGAACGACCGTGGGACATAATACTTGATTTTCGATGGGAAATTACGCATTTCACACTGTCTCAACGGAGTGTAGATCACCCAGAGTGGCCAATAGTGTTTTCCGAATCTCACCTCATCGGAGATGCTAGACATTCTGAACTTTGTTGACTCATTGCCAAGACCATATGTACGTTCTTGAATCCGCGAAATCCGTGGTGTTAGAAGGGATAACGCTCTTGTCTGAAAGATCTTGTGTACAAGGTCAAACTGAGAACCATCCTACTCTATGTGAGTGAGGCTTGGGCCCTGGGGCGCCTTAAAGTCTTTGATCACCGCTGTCTGCTGAGCATTGCTGGTGCCGAATGACACAAGCGTATTCGCAACGATCATATGCGTATACGAGTACTAGGCTGCAATAAGCATACTAGTTTCTTAGCATAACAAATAACATTGGATAAGTTACCTTGACTTGTTCACGTGCCACGCATACCGCCGTCACCGCTTACCGGGGAGGACCTTATTTTGTTTGCCCGATGCAGGATGATGTATTTTTGTAAGATGTATTTTGTAAGATAGGCAAATCTGATGTGGTAGCGGGAGGCGAACTCACTGGTGACCAACCTGGGTGCTATTGATTCGTCTCACCTTCCAGGCTGGAGTTTACGCAACCCACCCTGTGTTTGGATCCAGACGTCACATGATATGGTTCGCAGTCTGCACCAAAATCGCATCTGCTGTCGTCTAGTATTCGGATTTCCCTCTTAGGTTGTGTCTGATGCTGTTATCTTCGGAGTACTGTCAGATTATGGTACAGGACATTAAAAGCCGCAAGGACTGTTTGGCCGATGCCGCCGGTCGCTTGAGCCCTGTGTTGTTCATGTACATACCTTGGACATGTTTGTTAGGGCATTTAGGTTTTACACCAGGTTGCCCTTCTCTTCCACGTATTCTTCCTTAGTCGTTAAGCCAGCCTTGTTGTACCGCAGTGAAGTATAAATTTAAATGATTGATCTCCTACTACTGATACCGGTGATCTTCATATCATAAACGAATACGATTGGCAGGAACGGTAACGGGCGGAGTATATTTTTCTGACTAACACCACTGGGGTTTATATGTTGGAAGGAGTAACGACCACCTACAGTGACTACGTGAGAGCGACTGCCAACCAAATATTATATGCTCGATTCCAAAAAGAACTATCCACCTCAAGTGACCACCTGTGAGGCACTCAATCTAACGCCTTTCAAGCCTAGAAATAGTGATATAGTTGCACAGCTATTATCACTGAAATCAGACTCGTAGTTTCGATAATACCGTGGGCTGATTGTGCTAGGTCGTAAAAAACCATCAAGTATTTGGCTTTATTGCTAGTATTCCTAACCTTCCCAGATGCTTCTCCTACACGGACTCGCTCTTCCTCAGTGAATACCAGACCGGATTCCATCTTGACAGAGGATGCATTTACGATAAATTTACACCGTGTCAGGTGTTGAAGCACCGCAGACACAATAGGCGACCTACCGTAATTGTCTTACTGTTGTTTTTCAGTCACAAAATGTCTAGCTCCACAGTAGTTTGAACTGCCTACTTTGTCTCCGCTACAATTTTAACTACCTGTCAGCCGCTTACCTCGTTGCGTGTTCTTTGCGGTTTGTATGTCTTGTTTGTTGAAGCCTCACATTTGCCGGGTGATTGCTTCGCAAAGGGATCCAACGACTTGGCTACAAGTGCTGGCACATGCCATCACTCTGAATGAAAGTCAGGATTCCTCTGCCTCAGTGGTTTAGTACTCTTCCCAACATACACAGTCGTGGGGCCAGAGTATTTTCTCGCTCGGTTTATCATTTATGTGCCTAACATTCCGACTCACATCCTTACTTTCTTCCTCTCACTTTGTATTCCAATCCGTACGTTTGTTCTAACCCCATCTACATCAGTTGTCCATTAATAATAATAATAGTAATAATAATAATAATATCATTATGGTGGCATAGATCATGGCAACTGGGGCCGTCTCAGTTATGTGCCATGGTTGCATCATACTTACAAAACGGCATTAGTCAGAACATTTTCACAACTGTCAGACCTTCACCCCTCTCAATCCTTGTAACTACCTCGGGTTATAGCCCATTTACCAAGCTACAGGAGTGCTTGCCTTATTCCTCGAGTAATTCATCTACCGTTTCTCATGGTGTTTGGTGAAGAATTCAGAGCCTTTTCAGTGATATCTCTTTCTTCTCTGATTACAGCCTTGAAGCTAGATCGGAGAAACCCGATCATCCAGGTAGCACGACGAGCTCAGTTGATATGATAACGAAATCCTATACCGTCACCCCGCCTTCCCAAGCACCGATACCGTACAGCACCACTCCTGCCACCGAACCGTCGCCATCAGCTATAACTGTTGAACCTGATGGGTGGAAGCGAGACCATGCAACAAAATTTGGGCCTTTATACATGGATTCGACGATTAGAGATTCTGACAATCGGACGACAGTTGCTTGTTACTCTGAGTACGAGCCGCAAACTAAAACTTCGAAAGTGGATTCTCAGGATCCGTTTGCTTTGGGAGAGGTTGAGGTTCTAGAATCGCTCTCCCAGTCAGTCAATGATACAACAAGCTCGCCCGGTGGAGAAACTCCGACTCAGGATGAGCATCAAACGGATCGGACAGATTTGCACCTGTCACGCATATTCCCCCCTGGTATGTCTCTCTTCGTGGGACCTTGTTCCAGTTTACACGTGTAAATATGTATGTCATTGTGTGTGCTGCCTACACTGACTTACAATGAAAGTATATCTTCTTAACCTGAAAAAAGGTATTCATGTTTATTTGATTTGCTCGGTTCTGTTATTTTGCTGCCTATTCCGTGCCAATTTTGCACATTACTTTTTCGATATCTCCCGTGTGGCTGCGCTTGATGTGAATGTTGACAAGGTGCCTACCTGTCTAACGCCCTCCACCTCGATTGTTGGTTCCAGGAGACCATGAATCATTGCTAAGGGTGCGGGATGCATGGTCCTCTTGGACGTGCTAGGCTCATAGAGTGGTTCCATGCATCCACTGTGGGACGGACTACGGTCTAGCCACCGTCTTATGTACGTCTGGTGCGCATAATTCCCAAATTAGATAAGCAGGAATGCTGTTGGTGCGCATGTAGGAGTTTGGGCTGGCTCTACCGATGAAACGTGGCTTCCGTCCACATGCATCCTGGTCTTATTCCTTCAGGTTTACTCTGGATATGGGATGTGTGGGTGGTGCAGCGCAAGCCATCCATGGTCCTTCTGTAGGCACAGGTGTCCTGTGGCTGTCCTATAGAAACCACCAACCATGTGTGTTGCCCTCTTGATTTTGGGACTATGTTCTAATTGCAGTTTATGCGTGCACTGTAACCCTGTTTGATCTATGCATCGAATGTAATATCCATTGCCATATTCTAGCTCAAAACCGAAAATAAAGTCATTCAGATAGACCGTGCGAAGTACATTCAGCTCGTCCCATGCCTTCGAAGTTTGTAACACTGGTTCAGGGCATTCTACTCTCCATCGAATGAGGCAAATAATGAAACAATGAGCAAGCGAGTTTAAAGGAGTTACAGCCCAGCACATGGGCTCAATTTGAACAGCGCAATGGTCTCAAGCTGAGAGATTGCAGGCCGTCGACGTTGATACGCGCAATTCAGCGCATCGCTGGTCTATTATTCTTAAGCGAAGAAGTGATAAAGAAGTTGTGTTCTGCACCTCTCCCAGAGCCATTGCGCTAAGGCTGTCCATGTTTCCAGACACGCCCCTGAATGAACTAACTACTAAAACAGATGCTGCGTTCCAACGTCTTCCGCAGCGGACGACCAGTAGCTTCCATGGCGTGTTATCACCGATGAAAACCGCGCCTCATATTTGTTCCAAGTGATCAGACCGATGTGACCCGTAAGACAAGAAAATTGCGCTACTTCACAGAAGCATAGCAGCAGTGAAGGCTTCGAAGCAGCGTGTGCCATGTTCAGACGCTACTCACGTTTTGCCTGCCGTTCATTGCGGCTCCTCAACAAAATCACTCATTTCGTGCACGCACCCGCTCCCATATTCACCATTGAAGATGTACGACTTGAATAGACTGATCGTTTCGTCTATCTGAAGCACTTATGGTGTCGACGTGATGTCTTATACCCGACAAAAGACCGTGTTTATTGTGCCTCTGTTCGTTCGGTGTTGTTGTATGGAAGCGGGTCCTGACGAAATCGCGTGGAGGAGATGCATCGTCTTTATGTCTTCGACAACAGTTGCTTCAGGAGGATCACAGTGATGACATTAAACTTCGTTTCCTGGAGAATGCGAGTATTCCCTTTAACTACCTGGTTTTGATGCGCCAGTTGAGACTGCTTGGCCACGTCCAGCCCATGACGCCTGAGCGTTTTCCGCAGCGCGCTCTTTCCGCTAGTCCAGGACCGGGCTGGAGGCGACTTCGTGGTGATCAGCCTTTCACTTGACGACAGCATCTGGAAACGTTGATATCAAATCTACCCTTCATTTGACCTGTCACAATGAAACTGGAGCTTAACGTGGTGCGACGGTTTGCATACCTCATCGACCCATTGAGCTATACTGTGTGGTGTCCCCGGCCCGCTTGAGAGTTACTCCTACCAGGTTGGTCAATGGCCAGTAGTCAAACAAACTCAGCCCCCTGCTCCTCCAGGTTAGAGGTTCGAAATGCGATGGCATCTATTTTCGTAAAACTAAATCATTGCCACATCCGCTGTCTTACGGACAGGCGTTTACGTCAAAGTCTTTGGTTGCGGACCCTAATTGTCCTCCTTTCTAGGTAACTCTGTAACTCAGCCCACGTACAACCATAACTTATTCAATCTTTAATCACATCCGGCATCGGTCGCCGCCCAGCTTATCAATTCGCCTTATCTACTGCATAGAACAGGGCCAATTAGCGGAAGCATGCTACTGCTGTCGCCTGCCTTCTTTTTTCCACCTGTTTCTCTTACTCCCATCCCAACCCCCATTACTAATCTTCCTTCTATAATTCTCAGCTTAATTGACAGCAACCGATGTGCCACTAGAGTAGAAACATCTGCAGCCACCTTCCCGCAATACCCAATGGATCCCAATCGGCAACCGTCCCTTATAAGATCACACTATCCCGTTTCCCTTACCACGTTCATCGTTCGCACTCTATGACAAACAGGTCAACAGGCTGCACTCGCACGCACTCTTGCATACCTTAGATATTGACGTGTGTGTGACGTATCCCAAACTAACATCAATGACACTTACGGGGTTGTGTAATTAACTACGCACGGCTTTTCCTCCTGCTCTTGATTGCACGTTTCCGGCGACACTGATGCTGCACTCACTGGTCAAGCTGGAGTTGGCATGGCTCGTAGATCCAAGGCTGAGCCTTTCTTGGTTAATTGGATTCCGATGAACAGCCGTTTATGTGCAGCCCGTTTGGCGACATCAACTAAGGTCAAATCACGAAGCAGCACAAGACGCTGTTTGTTTGCGGTTTCCGTTTATGGTCTTATGGACCAGTTCTAATTATGCCAAAGACAAATTCTACCACTTATGGAACACACTTCTACGCAGTGCTACTAGTTCAGCTGCCGTAGTATTAGTATTGGATACGAATGCACAAGTAGGTCGCCTGTACTCTTTAGAAGCTCAGGTATGTGGTGATTTTGAGCTTAACTCCGGACGGGCGGATAGCGGCGAGCGTCTGTTGCAACTGTGTGCAAGGCACTTGCTGTTTCTTACTTGCACCGCTTCGAGACAGTGGGCATCGTAGTGCCACTTGGTGTCTTCCTGTTGGTTGCCAGTGATGGACAGAATAGATAACATTGCCATAAATGACAGATGGCATGATTCCATCCTGGATTGTCGCTCATTCTGGAGTACTTGCGTGGACTCTGATCATGCCTTGTTACGCTGTCGCTTTTCCATGACCTTTACTATGATGCGTACTAACACCTCCCACGATCGGCACCTGAGTAGTTGTCTCAGTCCTCGGTCTGGCTAGTCTACCAGAATGCACTGCGTACATCCATTTTGCTCTCTTGTCCTAATGTCTGCTTCAGTGGAATAAGATCTCGGCCGCAATGCAGAATGCAAGAGGCTCCACTTGAGGTACTATTAATCGTTACCGCATCAGTCACTAAATATCAGAGATCGGTGAACGTGTTAGAATCCAAAAGAAATCTCCCGGTTCACTCTGAGCATGTTGTTCCCCCGCGGAGTATTAGACACTAACTAAAGCGGAGTCTGCGTGCTGACAAGGAAGCCTGGTGGACCAATCGGGCCAAACAATTGGAGGCGGCAGGAGCAGTAGGCAATTATCGCAAGCTCTTTCAATTGTTCTGCGCCATTTGTTCCATCAAACCAGGTGTCAGTGAGACAATCAGATGGCGCGGGTGTCCTGATTCACCATAAGGAGCGCCGTATGGGTTGTTGGGCGGAAGGCTTTCAAGATCAGTTCAGCTGGCCACCCGTTCCGGGACCTCTTCCTACTCAGATGATGCAGGACGAGCCATGGACGGTTATTTTTGAGCCTCCGTTGAAGGCCGAGGTCCAAGACACGATCAAAGCCCTGAATCGTTTTTGTGTTGCTTGTCCCGATTCCTTCCCACCTGCACTATTTAAGGATGGAGGTGGGGTCCCTGCGAAGCACTGACCTCCCTATTCGAATGCATCTGGAAGGAGGAGAGTGGCCGGGCTAGCTGGAGTGAATCGATTATAGTGACGATATACAAGAAGGGCAGTCGTAGCGTCTGTATGGACCACAGCGGTATTAGCCTAACGCCAGTTGTGACAACATTACTGGGCTCAATTCTCCTTCGTCGCCTCACTGCGGAACGGGAGTCTCGGATTAGGGAAGAGAAAGCAGCTTTCCGCCCAGGACGTGGCTGTATAGACCATATATTCACTCTGCGTCGATTGCTATAGCAGCGCCACACATACCGCAAACCGACAATAGCTGTGTCCCTCGATTCAGTCGATCGATGCAATCCCTTTGAGTTACTTGTGCGGAAAGGTCTTTCAATGAAATGTGTACATATATGTGCTCTATACTCGAACACTACAGATCGCCTCAGGTTCTACGGTGATTTATCCGATGTAACGTTCGTCTGGGTTGTCCCATCTCCCCATTTTTGTTCCATTTCTTCTTGGACTCCACATGGAATGTTATCTTGCGAAGTCGCTCGATGGAGCCGTTGAGGTGTTGCCTGCTAGTTGATCTTTATTATGCGGACGATAATGTCTTACTGTTTAACGATGTTGCAGCAGCGCATTCAACCCTGAATAACTTATTTAGATTGTTCCATTTATTCGGTATGCGCTTCGCACCTTCGAATTGCATATAGTTGTTGCAGGACCACCAGCCACTTGATGAATCCTTGACCGTTGATGTCAAGGAACTTGAGGTGGTTGGTCAATTCACTTACCTTGGCAGCTGCATCAGCAACGATAGGCGCATCACAACCGAAGTCAGTCCACGTAATGCAGACGCCAAAACTGCATTCCTGAAGCTGTAACATCTTTGGTGACAAAAAGTAGTTTCACTTCGTTTGGAAGGCCGCGTGTGAGGGCCGTCCTGTTCTTTGAGAGTGAGACTTGACCCTTCGGTCGGAGTATTTGATCATCGTTGTCTACGAAACATTGCTCGTGTCGGATGGCACCAATGTGTCCGCAACAATGATGTGCGTAGGCGAGTACTAGGTATTGATAATCATGGTAGCTTGAGCAACAGATAGCACTGATTAATTTGCGTTGGTTTGGGCACGTGCTACGGATGCCTAGTCACCGCTTACCTAGGAGAGCTTTGTTTAGTCGGCCAGGTGTAGGGTGGCACTGTGATTTTATGGCAGCGAAGCACCAGTTCATATGGGTGATATGCTGCTGTTGATGCTGATGATATCCCGGGATGGATGAAGTGCTATTGGCTCATCACGCTCGAAGACATGCCGCACAATCGTAATCATTAGAAAAGCTGTGTATAGAATGGTTTTGATATGCATGTGTGATACCTCAAATTTTGAAAATGGCAGAAAAGGGAATATTCGGCTTGTGAAGAACAAGCAACGAATTTTGTCTTATGTTTCGTTCTATAAATATATATATACCCTTTTTACGTTTAATAAAACTGAGGATATTGTGTTTACATGTTGCTCTACAGTCTTGTCAATAGCGCCTCTTTAACCCTTCACAGCAGCATACTGGTATGCTGGACCTCAGCTACCTCTCACTGCACTGTAGGTCAATACATCTGGCTACAGTTCACGTTTTCTTCAAGCTACTTTCTTTAAGCTACTCCCATGTAACCTCGCCATAAAATCACCTTAACCAAGCTTTCCAGCCAGATTTTGCTTCGGGCTCATCGGTTTTCGGCGTCCATGCATTGTATTGATTTTCCAACTCACAAAATCTGCATATCACTGGTAAACCTTTTGGTCTAGTGGTACGTTTCCATGCATGTCACAGACTGATGCGCTTAGCCAGTATCTCGAGTGGTCCTTTACCGAGTTCACATTGACCGGAGCAACGTCGCCTCGTCAACACATGACAGCCAATAGTCATCTGTCGCGGTCACCTATCTACCCTGCGAGTCGTTATCACATTGTTCTGGTTCACATGAGAATGTGTTGGTGGTCATCCCATTCTTACGGGACAATGTTACCCTTGGCGTGGCCTTCATTCACTTTCCCGATTCCTCAAATACTTTTCGGAGAATCCTTCCGCGTATTGGTCAGCCTTTTCTTCCTTCATCTTAATCTGAGCGCGTACCACTGTTTTATTTTAACCATTGCATTCGGCTTGATTCAACTCCGTTCCAATATGTGTTCCATGTAATGTTATTTTTGATATGCATCGCAACGAAGTAGGTTGTCACGTATTTGCAAGGGATTGTGACCAGAAGCTCGGTTCCTTAATCACTTACATCCAGCGTAGCTGTCATGGAGCCATAACTACTTGGGCCACAGGCTTTTTCTTTTACTCTTTCACTGATTTGGTCGCGTAGAACACGTTGACAACCATCACTAAAGATGCTGACGACGCTATGTGATCAGCGAGAGTGATTCTTGACTGTGCTCATTTAACTTTTAGTGTGTTTATCATTTCACAGCAGGCATATCGGGTCTTCTAATTCCGAAGGATGTCTCCCCTCCTGGAAGCTTCGAATCTGCGTCTCTGCCCAGTCCATTGATACCTCTAAGCGACGCTGCATCTCGGCACATTGCTCCACATACGGCTGGCGTACGATCATCATTCAATGCACAGGTGGTTTCCTGCACCACTGTGACCGACACTCGGTTCAGTCCTCGTATGACCGCGCCACCGCATCCTGACTGCAGTACCATGCCACCCAGTTGGATGCGTTCTCCTCTGCTTCCTACTTCAAACCCCACACCAATTATTCAGGTCAGCGCGGTCCACAGGCTACACTCATATCCTGGCCGGTGGTCATCATTTGTTTTCACATTCTAACCGATTCACTAAGTTGATCGTTAGTTTGGAAATGTGTGGACATGATGCATCTGGTGGTTTGTCTGAATTTCTAGTTGCTTATGTGTCGTTAACACAACTATCCCCCGTCGAGGCAGATTTTCGTGTGGAGTTTAATCGTGAATTCTGCCTTCTACGAGACTTCACATTTGTTTAAAAACCGATGTTAGCTGTTTCCAGTTGGTTAGTCAGCATTTCGAGTATTCACTCTTCTGAGTGCAAAAAGTTCTTCGGGGAATTAAATATTCAATGGCTTTATTCGTTCGTGTTCGTTTACTTGTGCTTGGCACTTTGCAATTTATGACCCACGTGGGGATGACGAAACTTACAGAGTTCACATCGACTCGGTACCGTTTTGTTCGATGCTAGATTTTTGCGGCCGTGAACTTGTAATTGTTTTAGTGATATAGGTTTTCCAGCAAATTGACTAGGGTACTTGAGTATGGTGCATAAATCTGATGGATGCCTTCGCTTTTTGTCTTGATTTTCCGCGCCGATTACCACTTCGGTCGTTACATTTAAAACTACCTGTTTCTTCTGTCCTCATTGTTCCTGTTTTTTTTAAATTCCAAATCAGGTGTCTGGGGCAATGCCTGCCTATCCATGCGGGACCCAGTTACCTGGCTTTCCGCCGCCTTTCCATCCCATTTCGTCGACCGCCCAGTGCCAACAAATATACATGTTCCCGTCCATGCCACATCTTCCTGCAACTGGGCTCCCGAATTCACTTCCGTCTTGGCATCGCTTGCCTAACTTTCAGCCTTCCCCACCTCCTCTAATGAACTCGATGCCATCCGGTCCGTCAAATTTTATCCCCTTCTTCAACCGATGTGGTGCGCTTAGACCTCCGGGAACACAACCACCGAATCGCTGAGGGTTGCACGCTCGCTCTTCTCTGCACTCCCTCTTTCCACATTGGTACAACACATGCCTACTCCTTTCATAGTGTTTCCATTTTGGTCGGAAAAGAGCATTTTAAAGGCGACATACTGTGTCTCCACTTTGACTCTAATCCATCATGTATAGTATCGTACGAGCGTGTACACATGTACTGAGTTATAGCCAAGCATTGTGCTCCATTCCTCGCTCCGTTGATCCGATCGACTTAGATGCAACATTCGGAACTCCAGTTATTCTTGTTATTCCGTCCTTCTTGTCCTGTACATCTATGCACAACGCCAACGAAGGCCATGTATCACACATTCTTACTTCTCTTTTCAAATATCTGCTTAGGTTGGAGATGCCTTGCGAATTTATTCGTCCTCACAATCTTAGTGGTGTCTTCATCCGGTTGTTCATAACACCGGTACGATTTTGTGTGGGCGCAGACGCCCTAGTCCACACGCGACCAGTGGTGTTCGTGGAACAGCAAAGCATCTGTACGCAGTATTGGGGTGCTACTGATGCAATGCGACCTTCAAGATTCGCTTGCGAGTGACATGGTACTGGATCCACTGGGAAGTCGATTTTTATACCTGTTCCCACTGTGTCTCCAAATCAGCGATGGTTGGATGCCATTAGTGCGTCAAGGCAGCGATTGGAACGAACAACGGACTTTGTACTGAGTAGTCAGTTCTACATACTGAGCACAATATAACCACCATGCAAATGAACACTCTTTTGCCTCAGAATCATATGTTAGGGGCAACCTCGAACCGTAAGTGTCGTCAGATAATGACATGATGCTTTGTGAAGCCAATCTCACGCAACCGAATTTCCAGAACAGGTTAGGTGAAATTATGTGAAGGCGGCATTTGATTATATGGAAAGATCATCATCATCAACAGCAGTACATCAGTCATTTGAACTGATGCTTCGCTGCCATACAACCATGAGGACCTATGAAATAAAGAAATAAGAGGGAGAGAAAGGGGACTTACCCGAAAACCTTAATGCCCTAAGCAAACATTCAGGGTCAAGGCGCCTACACCTTGTGTAGACAACATTCCGTCACAAACAGCTGGCTATCGTGCAAAGATAAGGCGGCATCGGCGAGACAGCTTCCTTGCGGCTTTCACTGCCCTGCGTCATAATCAGCTATTACCCCGCAGATAACTCAGCACCAAACACACTTTAAACAGACAATCCGATTAGGAGACGGCAGCAGACGCGCCACTGGTGTCGGTTGCGAGCCATGTCCTGTAAAGTCTCAAGCCAAGCACAACGCAAGTCACATGGACTCCAACCCGGAAGGCGAGACGGACCAACGGCACCCAGTTTAGTTGTCAGTAACTTCATTTCCCGCTGCCAAGTCAACTTCTGTCTACCTCGAGCTTTGCGCCATCCTACACCTGGTAGACTGAACAAGGCCCTCCTAGGTAAGCGGTGACCAGGCATGCGTAGCACGTGCCCGAGCCAACGCAACTTATTCAGTGCTATCTGTTGTTGTAGGGAGCTAGCATGATTATCACCACCTAGTACTCGCCTACACACATCATCGTTGCGGACACGCTGGTGCCATCCGACACCAGCAATGCTTCGCAAACAACGATGATCAAAGACTTGAAGGCGCCTCAGATCTTCAGACCGAAGAGGCCAAGTTCCACTACCATAGAGCAGAATGGCCCTCACTGTGGCCTTGTATACACGGCCTTTCAGACGGAGAGAAACTCCTTTCTGTCGCCAAAGATGCCGCAGGTTCAAGAAGGCAGCTCTGGCCTTTGCAATGCGTGAGCTGACGTCAGTTTCTATGCGCCCATCATTGCTGATGCAGCTGCCAAGATAAGTGAATTGATCAACCACCTCGAGCTCCTCGTTAGCAAGCGTCAAGGGGTCATCAAGTGGCTGGTGGTCCTGCAGCAACACTGCACTTTGAAGGTGCGAAGTGCATACCAAATAATGGGACCACTCTGGATAGGCTATTCAGGGTTGACTGTGCCGCCTCAACATTGTCGAAAAGCAAGACGATATCGTCCGCATAAGCTAGATCAACTAACCTTTCACCAGGCGACACTTCAACGCCTACATAATGAGATTCCGCAAGGGAACACTCCATGATAGAATCCACAACGAACTTGAACAAATACGGGAAATCGGACAACCCTGACGAACGCCACTTGTAGTCGAAAAGCTATCCGATAGGACACCATAGACCCTGACGCGGCCTCTAGTGTTCGAGTATAAAGCACGAAGGATGTTCACATACTTCGTGGGAACACCTTTTCACGCAAGTAATTCGAACAGAATCGATCGAACACAGCTATTGTCGGTCTGCGGTATGCGTGGCGCTGCTCTAGCACCTGCTGCAAAGTAAATATATGGTCTATACAGCCACGTCCTGGGCGAAAACCAGCCTGCTCTTCCCTAATCCGAGATTTCCGTTCTGCAGTGAGGCGACGAACGATAATCGAGGCCAGTAATTTTGTCACAACTGGCGTTAGGCTAATACCTCTGTGGTTCGCACAGTCTGTGCGACTGCCCTTCTTGTATATTGCCATTATAATCGACTCGCTCCAGTTAGCTGGCACACTCTTCGTTCCAGATACGTTCGAATAGGGAGGTCAGTGCCCTGCAGAGGACCTCACCTCCATCCTTAAATAGTGCAGGTAGGAGGGAATCCGGGCCAGCGGCACGAAAACGATTGAGGGCTGTATTCGCGTTTCGGACCTCGGCCTCCGACGGAGGCTCTCAACTAACCGTCCATGGCACGTCCTGCATCACCTGAGTAGGAAGAGGTCCGGGAGCAGGGGGCCAACTGAACTGATCTTGAAAGTGTTCAGCCCAACTAGCCATACTGCGCTCGTTATTGTGTATCAGCGCACCCGCGCTGTCCCTGATTGTCTCACTGACGCCTGGTTTTCTGGGACCAGTGGTGCGGATTAGCTGGAAGAGCTTGTGGTAATTGCCTACTGCTCCTGCCTCCTCCATTTCTTGAGCCCTACTGGTCCACCAGGCTTCCTTGTCAGCACGCAGGCTCTGCTTTAGTTCACGCCTAATAGCCCGTCTGGTCACATTGTGTTCAGAACCAGCCGGGAGGTGTCTTCTGGCTTCCAACAGGTTCACGGACCTCTCGGATATCCAGTGACTGGTGCGGTGACGACTGATAGTGCCACAAACAGATGCTCCTGCGTCGTGCATAGCGGCCAAGATTCTATTCCACTGAAGTTCAGTGTCATTAGGACAAGACAGCGAGAGTTCGCTATGCAGTGCTTCTTGATAGGCTTGTCTGACAGAGGGCTGGGACAATTTCTCCGTTGCCAATCGGGGGAGACGCTTTGTGCGCCTTCCGTTAAAGTTCATGGAGAAAGGACAGCGCACCAAGTCATGATCAGAGTCGACACAGGTACGACAGTACGAGCGGCAATCCAGCATGGAACCAAGCCATCTGTAACTTATGGCTATGTGGTCAATTTGGGTGCTCCGCACACAGTTGCAACAGACGCTCGCCGTTGTCAGTCCGTTCTGCGTTAAGTCCATACTTACCACCCAGCTGAGCTTCTGAAGAGCTCAGACGCCCTACTTGTGCGTCCATATCCCCTGCAAGTGCTATAATATCTGAACTGGTAGTACTGCGTAGCAGCGTGTGCAGTTCGTGATAGAGAGTGTCCTTGACAGCATTAGAACTGCAGTCGGTGGGAGCATAACCAGAAATCACAAACAAACAACGTTTTGTACTGCTTCGTGAATCAACCTTGGCTGATGTCGTCAAACGGGCTGCACATAAACGGCTGTTCACCGGAATCCAATCAACCAACGATGACTCAGCTTTGGAGCTGAGAATGATACCTACACCAGCTTGACCCGTGAGTGCCACATCGGCGTCTCCGGATGTGTGCAACCAATAACGAGAGGATAAGCCGGGTGCAGTCAATTCAATAACTCCGTTAGGGTCATTAATCCTAGTTTCGGACACACATCAACACCCAGTGTATCCAAGGTGCGTGCGAGTGCAGCCTGCTGACCTGTTTGTCTTAGAGTGCGGACGTTGAATGTCGCCATGGAAACGGGACGGGGTGGCCTTATAATTGAATTTTGCCGATAGGTGCTGCGGGATGGTGGCTGCTGACGGTACTACTCCAGTAGCACTGGGAATTATAGAAGGAATGTTAGTAATAGGGGCCGGGATGGGAGTAAGAGAAAAAGGTGGAAAAGGAAGAAGGGAGGCGCCAGCAGTAGCATGTTTTCGCTTATCTGCCCTGCTGTATGCAGCAGATAAGGCGACCCTTGATAATCTGCGCGACGGCCGATGCAGGATGAAGTTTATGTTTGAAGAAAAAGTCATGGTTATATTTGGGCTGGGATACTGCCAGGGCGCCCAGACCTAGACAGGAGAACGATTAGGGTCCTCATCCAAAGCCTTTGGCTCAAAAGCTTGTCCGCAAGACAGCGGAGTGGCAGTGATTTAGTTTTACAGAAATGGACGCCATCCCATTTTAAACCCCCAACCTGGATGACCAGGAGACTGAGTTTGTCTGACCTCTCACCATTGACCAACCTGGTAGGAGTAGCTCTCAAGATGCTCGGAGGCATTACCCAGTATAGCTCAATGGGTCATTGAGGTACTCAAACCGTCGCACCACGTTAAGGTCCAGTCTCGTTGCGACGGTATATGGAAAAATAGCTTCTGATGTATCTTGAAGTTCCCCAAACACTAAGCAGTGGCAACTGATGTGGTGTAAACCGCATCGGTGAGTTAGTGGAGGTTAAAAACAGAAGCGGACAACTGTGTATGGCAAAGGACAGTGAAGGATAATGGTTGGTATTCGCGTGGGCGACTCAGTCAGTTATGGTAGTTCAACCATAGATCGGCCAGTAATGTATTATGTTGTGCGTGCCGAAATGCGAGTAATCGGATGTAGATCGAGCACCAATTTTCCAACAGTGACATGGGTGTCGTTTAGTTCCCGACGGAAGCGTTGAGCTGCACACTTCCGTTTACTGGGAAAGTGAGCTAACCGACCGGTTAAACTACTGCAGTAACCACACAAAATCAGCAGCGTTTAATCGCACCGCGTTGCAAGACCGTGAAAGTAAAGCAGAAAGAAGAGAAGTTTCAGTTCAGAGCATTCTTCCCAAACGGATATCCACGCGCTTTTTTCCAGCTGTGTACGAACCACCAGACTACAACCATCACAGGCGTGGACGATGCAGATCGTCCCACCTTCCATGTGTAACACATCTGAGGTGACAGCCTAGTTGTTCAGACTACACGGTTTCACAATGGCTCACAAACCAATTGCTACTTTGGGGAGCGCTCTGTGGAAATCAAAATGCCACAACCAAGAAAAAGGCGAAAATTTTAGGAAAGCGATGTGTGCCAAACTAGAAAATCATCAGAAGGGACACAGAGGCACAAGAGCTTATAAGGTTTTTAACCGGAGCCCGGATAGCGATTCCAGAAGGCAGATCGGATTGCAGGAAAGCTTTACTTTGTACAGCAAAAAGTTTCCTGTTAGTCTAGCTATCAAAAACGACACCGTTGCATGTTGCTAGCTAGGGGAACGAAAAATGCAGAACACACAAGGCGCTTGTGCGTTGCAACCGAAGCGAGCACCAAGCAAAATGGCGATGCTCAACTCAAGTGGTCGAACAGCAACCAGTGCTACAATCCGCACCGGTCGCCTAAGTGTATGTGAGATGATAATTTTAGTTCGCATTTTGCGCAGGCAAACCGGGGAATCTCCAGACTTCTACAGACTCACTGCGCGCTCTGCTTAGTTTCAGCGCATATGGGCGGATTGGGATATGGCTTTGATTGGATCAAAA